CTTTTTTCTTTTTTCATTCTCCATGAACACATCGCCTTTCTCTTAGCACTTCCCGTCCACTTCCCCTCTCCACTCCTGCTCCCTCCACCGCTGCTGCGGGGCTGTTTTAACAGCAGGAGGGACAGAGACGAGGCGCGTAGTACCATGCACAGTGGGAGAGGAAGGGAACTGGGGGGCGTCGGCGTCGGCGTCGGCGTCCGTCCGTCCCTTGTTTTCCGCGCCTGCTTTCATGGCACGGTGCCCAGGAGGGACACGCGACACTTTTCTGCTTTCTATGACTTTTTTTTTTGTTGTGTGTGTGTGTTTTTTTTTTTTTTTGTAGGTGCGCCACCTGCAGAAATAATAATAAAATTAAAGGAGTCGAGGACCTTTAAAGAGAAAAACATTAAAAAAAAATGCTTTTTTCTTTGTCGGTTTTGTCTCGTGTTGTTGTTGTTGTTGTTGTTGTTGTTGTTGTTGTTGTGTGTTCTTTTTTTGTTTCGTGCCGTCTTGCTGCGGTGGTCTTCTGCGCTAACCTTGTCGCTGCCCGCGGGGCTCACTGACGGAGGCGGGGGGAGGGGGGCACCACGCTCAGGCTGCGATGCAGGGTGCCCTCTGCCTCCACTCTTCTTCCGCCCCTTTTTTTTTTGTTCCCAACACGCACCCTCCTTCTCAGTGGGGGGAGGGGCGCGCACACGCACAAATAGGCGGAGACCGCGAGCGAAAACAAAAAGGGGGTGGGGTAGGCCCGCAGTGCAAAGCAGAGGAGTGGAATTGCCGGTGAACGCCCATGTTTGCTGCAGCGCGGCGGCTGCGGCTGTGGAACTCCATGCAAAGTCGCGTACGGCCGCTCCGCTGCGGTAGGTCGCACGTTCTCATGGCGACCTCCGCCGCACTGTGCGCTGGCACGTACTGCATCATGGCAAACTGGGTGTACAGCGCCTACGTGGACCTCTGGTACGGCGTGTACGGCCTCGATGACGAGGGGGACGGTGTCGGCGACGAGGAAGAGGAGGAGGACGCATGAAATGCATCGGTAGTCTTTTTGTTTTCCCTCCTCTTCTTCCTCTGTGTGTATACGTACGTTTCTTCTCGCGGCTTCTGATGTTCGCTGCTTCTTCTCCCCCTCCACTAACTTTCTTCAACGCCCCGCTGGCGGGGATGATGCCCGCTCGTGCCGTACTGCTGCAGGTGCCTCACTCGCCTTCTCCTCCTTTCTTTCTTTCTTCTTCCTGTGTGCACGCAGCAAAACCACCTCGTGGGACCTGGCGCGCCACTATTTTTTTTGTTTCCTTTTTTTTTTCTGTGTGTGTGTGTGTCTTACCGTGGCGTTTAGTTTAAGTTTATCCTGCCCCTTCTGCCCGCCGCGCGAATGGATGCGTCGTCGGTGGGCAGCTCGTGCGACATGACAGAGGATGTACGCGGCGTGCGACGGCGGCGCGTCTCGCTGAGCTCCGTTGACTCCGAGCCGATTCCCAAGCGCTGCCGGCCTGACGCCGCGCTGCGCCGCGTTCCTGGCGATGATGACGACGACGACGGCGACGATGCGGACGGTGGCCGTGGCAGCCACTCGCACGGCCTCCACGTGGGGGACGACGAGAATATCAGTGACGTGTCGGAAGGTCACGACACCCTCGCCAGCGCCAGCCGCCGTGCGGGGTCGCCGCCCGCTGAGGCGCAGGCGGCGCTGCGGGACGCGAACGGTGATCCGCTGCTGCAGATCCCGCTGGAGCGCGTCTCCGAGGCGGCAGTAGCCTCCGTGACTGGCCTCATCGCCCGCAGCAGCACCGTCGTGGCGGACAACGCCGCCGGGGCGCTGGTGATGGATGCGGGGACACGCCTCTGCCTCAAGGACGGCGCCGTCGTGGGCGTTATCGCAACGGTGATGGGCCCCGTGGCCGCCTGCGCCTACGCAGTCGTCTGCCTCCCCACCGTATTCGGGGCGCTGTGCGACGCCGGTAAGCTGAGCCTGGGCGCCGACCTTTGCTACGACCTCGGCGAGCAGAGCATCATCTACGACCCGGTGGTGCAGTGCGACATGCGCCGCGGCACGGACGCCAGTTACATCAACGACGAGGAGCTGCCGCCACACGCACGGCCGGACTTCTCCGACGACGAGGCGGAGCGTCAGTGGAAGATGAATCGCCGCATGAATGCCGACGCGGAGTCGCTCTCTGACGACGACGTCCCTGTCGACATCGACTGGGAGAAGATCGACGCCCTTGAGGGGGGCCTGCAGGCAGATACGGCGCAGCCATCCGCTCCCGCTCCCGCCCCCCCCGCCCCCGCCGCACCGCGCCACACCAACCGGCTTGTGGTTCCTCCGTGGGTTGCAGTGACACCGGCGTGTGACGACGCCCCTTCACACCGGCGCGATTAAGTGGGAAGGTAACAGCGAAGTGCGGTGAAGAAGGAAGGAAAAAAAAACAAAAAAAACAAAAACAACAAAAATTAAAAAAGGACACCTCATCCTACAGACGCGGACACGGCGGCGGCGGCAGGACATTGAAAAGAAGATGGAAAATGCATTGGGTGCGCCGAAGTCCCCTGAAGTCTCCGGCGCCGGCGCGTGCGACGCGACGCAGCAACGACGGCTGTGCCGCTGCTGACTGAGGAGAAAGAGTGGGAAAGAGAGAGATGCAGGAACAGAGCTTCGCACGGATATTCCGCAACGGTGGGGTGGGTGGGTGGGTGGGGGTGATACGCCGCGGCAGTCTTCTTCCTGAGATTATGCGCTGACGCCTGTGGATGAGAGCCCACTTTTTTTTTTCTTGCTTGCAGCTGGCCGTCCTGACGCTTGCTGTCTGCTGCTGTTGTCGTCACTGACGTCTCACTGGGAGGGAGGTGGGCTGGCGTCTTCTCATTCCCGTATGCCGTCTGGCAATTTTCTCCGACTCTTTCCCTCCTTTATGTCTTTCTATTCCTGCGTGGGGCGCGTCGTAAGAGTGGCAGGGGATTCGCAACGTTTTGTCCCATACATATTTACCCACACGCGTACACGCTTGGACGCATCTGCTTCATGTGCGGGATGCGGGTGGGATCGTGTCTAACGGCGTCTGCTGTTAACATTTGCTGCTGACGTCCTCTTCTTTTAGTTTCTTGTCTTTTTTTTTTTCTCTCCGCCTGCGTCTGCTACACACCCGCACACACACGCACACCTCTGCCGTGCTCTTCGTGTGCGCATGCTGCCCGCTTGCGTGCTGGTGGAGACAACTGCGGGCGCAGAGGGAGCCGTTTTTCAAGCCGTGTGGGCATGGAATGGACGCGTGGGCTGAACTGCTCGTCGCAGTTCAGCGGCTTCTGCGACGGCGACGTCGTCGATCCACGCAAAATGTGGGATAAGACGGTGGCGGCCAATCAACAGCTGCTGAACATTGTGAAGGAGCGGGAAACGCGCGCGACTGCGGCGGCGGCGTTGTTTCGCGGACGCCATTTTGCGCTACTGCGGGAGCTGGCGGCGGCAGAGGCGGAGGTGGCGGCGTTGAACGCCCGCAGCCGAGACCTCGTCGCCGCGCTTAGGGAAGCCCAACTCCACGGCGCCGGCCAGGCGCAACATATCGACAACACACACGCGATGGGCAACGTGCGGACGCACCCCGCCGCCGCTGATGATGATAATGCCGCCGCGGAGGGCGAATATGCGCAGCTGCTCCAGCGCCTCACACACACGGGACGGTTGCGGGAGGAGCTGCAAGTGGAGGTGCGGCAGCTGCAGTCGACGTGCGAGGCGGCCCTGCAGGAGCGCGCCGTGCTGATGCAGTCGCTGAAGGCGCAGGAGGAGGCGCTGGAGCCGCTGCTGCGCGATGCCGACGACCTTGCGCGTGGGGTGGCGGAGGTTCGGGAGACGTTGCGCACGTACGCCGGCGACGCCGCGGGGGCGGGGCGGGGCACGCGGCAAGGCCAGGCAGCGCTGCTGGAGGGGGTGGTCGCATGGGCGCGCGAGGAGGAGCGTGCTGTGCAGCGCGTCACCGCCCTCCTCAGCGACTTCATTGGTGTGGAGGACAAGAGCCTCAAAACGGCGACCTCCGGGCGGCTGCGGAGCGTCGATGGGGCGGTGCGGTTTTACCAAACGTGGAATGACGCCTTGGCGCGGGCCAGCGGCGACTTTGCACGCGAGATGAATGGGCGGCGCGCAGGGCTTTACGCCCGTGTTGAGGAGCTGCAGCGATTCAAGGCGCACAATTCACAATTGGAGCCGAATGCCTGAAAAGAAGGGAGGGGGAGGGGGTGCACTGACTGTGACGTTCCACCAAACAAGCCTGCAAGGCTCCTACCCGCGTGGGTTGGCGGTGGGCGCCGAAGAACGGGGCTTCCCACCGCCACAAGGAGAGGGATAATGCATAGTACAATTCATCATGTTTCCTGTGAAGGCAATTCGTCATCTTCGCTGCCGCTTCTGTGTGTCTCTCTTCCAGTCTGTCCCGCCGTGGGAACTCCCTCAATGATATGACCCCTCTTACTCCCTCCTCCCTCTCTTTTACTCACTCTTTCACCCTCACACACACACACACACACACACGAAAGGAGTTTACCGGTGCACTCAATGTTTGCGCGGCGGCTGTGGATATGTCGCCGTGCCGCTGTTGGCCTTACGGGCGTTTGCCTCAACCAGCGGACCCCGTCCTTTCATCCCTTCTCGCACAAGGACGAGGAAGACTTGGTGCGGGTGGTGCGGACGAAGCCGCGGCACGTGTTGAAGCACGTCCGGCAGCAGGTGTGGCGCTCGCGCAAGCGGGAGCTGCACTTCCGCAACACTGTCACACACCTGATGATTGTGCTGCAGGAGTTCCTGCGGAAGCAGCTGATTGACCCCGCCAACGCCTCGCAGATCATGGAAGGGGTCATGGAGGAGTGCGTCAAGTACTCGCAGCACGACATGGCTCACTTGCTCTTCCGCGCCTTCCTGCGGTTTCGCAAGTACGGCTGTGTCATCTCCGTGGACGCGCTGCGGTACCTCTTTGAGTCCTACAAGGAGAACGACAGCGGCGAACTGATGGTGCAGCTCGCCAACGAGATGCGCTCGGACCCCGCGATGCGGCCGCTCTGCATCGCGGCCTACCTCTTTGCGAACCACCCGGCAGAGGCCGACGCTCTGCAGGAGGGGCTCGCCTTCAGCGATCTCACACGGGACGACATCATCGCCCTTATCGACGGCTACGACAAGCTTCGCAGAACAGAGAAGGTGATGGAGGTGTTGCAGGGCGTCACGCGGCTCAACCTGGAGCCAGCTGACCTCACCGACATCTTTCGCGCCCTTTTTCGCGTTTTTTACCGCCGCGACGACGAGGTCTCATTTGCCGCCGTCTTTCAGGCATCGCGCGACAAGGCGGTGTCGCTGGACGCGGCCACGTTTGCCATCATTCTGCGCCAGCGCATGCGCCACGTGACCTCCGTTGAGGAAATTGCGGCAGTGGAGGGGGAGCTGCAGGAGTTTGGGTACGTCCCGGACGTCACGGGAAATTCCATCGTTATCGCCGCCTACGCTCGCCTCATCCACTTTGGGGATCGTGGCAGCGAGGAGCTTATGCTGGCAAAGGTCGATACCCTCCTGTCCTCCATCGAGTCCCGGCTGAGGCAAGGGGACCCCGACATGGATATTAGCGCCGTGCACATCCGCGCCGTCATCCGCGGCTACGGCGCGGCGGGGCGGCCGGACTCCTTGAAGACGGCCTGGTCCCGGATGCAGTACAAGGGTCTCACCAACGATGTGCGGGTGTACAATGAGCTGTTTAAGTGGTTTGCGCTGATGGGCAACGTGAAAGACGTGATTGCGTTGAAGGAGGAGATGGACACCGCTGGGGTGCACCCCGACTCGCAGACATACGCCTGGGTGCTCCGGGCGTTGGGCAAGTACTACCCTCGTCACGTGGAGAGGCTCTACGAGGAGATGCTGGAGAAGCACGTGCGGCCGGATGTGCAGCTGTACAACACGCTGATTGGCATCTTTGGCGACCTGGGCGACCTGCAACGGGTGGAGACGATTATGACGGAGATGAAGCGGCGGGAGGAGTTTGGCAGCCTGCAGTTGACGCCAGTCACTTTTGCCGTGCTCATTCGCATCTACGCCGGCGACCTGGCGAAGGCGGAGGCAGCCTACGCGGAGGCGAAGCAGCGCGGTATGGCAGATCACCCGCACGTGCAGACGAGCATCCTGCATGTCTACGCCAACCATGCGGAGGGCGAAGAGAAGCTCGAGACGCTGCTTCGCGACATCCCGTCGTGGTCCACGGACGTCTTTAACGTGCTGTTGAACATGTACGGCAAGAGCGGTCAGCGGGCGAAGGTGAGTGAGTTGATTGACAAGATGAAGGCGGAGGGGACGGCGATGAACGACGTCACCTTCGGCACCCTCATCACCGCCTTTGCCCGCTGGGGCGATGCTGAGAAGGTGCGGGACGTGATTCAACTGCTAAAGGATCACGAGGGGGAGGTCTCCGCCGCCTTTTACTCCGTCCTCGCCTCCTCGCTGAGCCGCATGGGTGACGTCGACGGCGTGAGCAACGCCTGGGAAGATTTGCTCTCGTCGAAGCTTTTTCCCGACACAGAGGTGTACAACCAGTTCCTCCTGCTCTACAGCCGGCAGCACAACACGGGGAAGATGCAGGCAGTGCTTAACAGCATGATGAAGCAGGTGCCCCCCAACCCCGTCACCGCCACCACGGTTCTGGACATGCTGGGGAAGTCGGGCCGCGTGGCGGAGATGGAGGCGCTTTTCGAGGACATGAAACAGTCACCGGACACCATGCCAACCTCCGTGACGTACCACCAGATGATGAATACGTACGCCAAGACGGGGGATGTGGCCAAGATGGAAAAACTGCACAACGAGTTCCTCGAGAAGGGCTACACCAGCAACGCCGTTACGTACAACATCTTGGCAGACGGCTTCGGCCGCGCCCGACGCTTTGAGCGCATGGAGGAGATTGTGCAGCAGAGGAAGCAGGCGGGGATCCCCATGGACGACCTCACCTACTGCGTCATGGCCACCACCTACGGCCGGGCGAAGCTGAAAAAGGAGGTGCAGCGCCTCTACGCGGAGGTCACCGCCCCCGCCTCCCAGCATCTCTTCACTAGCAAAGTCATTTGGTCCTTCATTGACGCCTTCTGCCGCTGCGCCGCCCCGGACGAGATGGAGCGGTGTGCCGAGGAGCTGAAGAAGTCGGAGGGGGACGGCAGCCTTAGCGCAAGCCACGTCCTCGCGCTCATTCCGTACTACTGCCGCCTAGGGGACATGCACCGCGTGGATGAACTGCGCGAGCAGGCGAAGGCGCTGAATGCGGACCTCTCATACACGTCACTGAACGCCATCGCACGCGGCTACGCCAGGGCGGGGCGGTTTGACAAGACGGTGGAGACCCTCCACCTGCTACGCGACCGCAACTGGGTTCCAGACGCCGCCACTGCACTCTCCCTCTCCGGCTCCTTCCTTAAGGCGGGTCTGCACGAGCAGGCGCAGCAGGTGGTGCAGTGGCGGCGGCAGTACGCGAAGCACGCTGGAGAGGAGTTGTCCTCGGCGCCGGAGGTTTAGAAATTGTAAGTTTTTGGCACACATGCACGTCAAGCACGGCAGAGCGAGAGCGCAAATGAGAGGGCGGTGGTGTGGTGGCCGCGGTGGGAAGTAGCAGGAGGAGGACGCCGATCAACCCCACAACACCCCCGCCCCCTCCTTCCCACCATCATTACAAATCCGCTTGTCTCCCGCTTTATTCTCCTCCTTCACACGGCTGTGACGATGCCGCAACCGCCACCCCCTCCTCCTCTCCCTCTCTTCTCTTCTCTCTGACGTTCTACACTTCTGCATCAATGTTTGTTGTAGAGGGGAAATTCCGTTTCTGTGTGTGTGTGTGTGTGTGTGGCAGAGAGGAAGGGACAGAGCAGGGCAGAAAGCCCACCCGGCCACACAAACAGGGCGCTCCCTTCTCTCCCCCCCAGCTGCCGCAGGAGTTGTTAGACATTTTTTTTTGTTTCTCTTTCTTTTTGTGTGTTGCACGTCGGTGATGTGCACACAGCAGAAGCATGAGTACGCATGTAGCCACACGCCTGTTTGAGTTGCCTTTTGCTTTTGTTTGTTTTCTTCTGCTGCCGCCTCCTGCCCACCTCCCGCTGGCTGGAGGGGGATAAAAGCGGCAACCATGGGGGCGGGAGGCAGTGTGTACATGCCGAATGCCATGCCCAATCCACTGCAGTCGCTACTCTTTCCTCTGTGCCTCATCACTTCCCCCCCCCCCCCCCCCACACACACACAAAGGCAGAAGGAGGGAAAGATAGACGACCAAACGCTTCTCGCTGCTGTGCGCTTCGAGGGCCCTGCAGTCACCACCAGCAACACATACGCCACGCACCGCCCACACAACA